AACACCTGACATCCGCCAGGAAGTAGCAGCCAGCAATGAAAGGACCAAAGCATTGACATCTCTGGCCCATCCTCTGTTTGGATATCAGCCAGCATGACAATGACTTAAATAAAAAAACAGCTTCCTAAAATCTACAGAGATATTTGCAGGAACACCTCAGCAAGTAGGAGTCCAAAAGTGGCAGGCTGAAACCCGGATCGTCAATCAGTGGCTGAAACCGGATGAGAGACTCCTTTCTGGTGACACAGAAGACTGGGTGACTCAAAAGGCGCAGAACAGATTGTTCTTTGGTACCACGAGATGCAGAGCCAACCTTAAGAAATAGGGCTACAAAGTGGATTCCATGACATGCGAGTGCGGAAAAGAACAAGCCACATATTACCTACTACAATGCAACCTGAGCCCTGCCACATGCGCAATGGAGGACCTTCTTACAACGACACCAGAGGCACTCCAAGTGGTCAACTTCTGGTCGAAGGAAACTTAGCATAAGGCCAAGTTTTTAACTTTGTTTGTGGTTTTTTAAATACAACTGTATCCTCAATTTGCTTCGGACACGACAAATAAATAAACAGTTCAGGTGATCTCGTGATCCCGTCACTGCCCCATCACAATCCCTTCACCCATCTCTTCATGCTGTTCATATTATGGGTTGTGCTCTGTATGCCTTCCTCTCTATTCATTTCCTCTCCGGTGCAGAGAATAATCATGGCATTGCTTTGCCATGATACAGTTCCTATTAGCTTTGGCTGGATGCTGCAAAGGAATCTGTTATTGGATCCCTCTCCCATGCCTTTGCCATCTCCGCTGAAGCAAGCCAGCCTTCCTTGCCAATATGCGCTTTTCAGCCTGCTCTGCTTATCTGTTTTCCTTTCTTAGGTGTTAGTTTGAGCTTTGCATTCTGGACTTCAAACCAACCGAACTTAAACTCTGATAGGTGTGCAGAGAGGACTGTGGGATCAATCACTTCCCACACAAGAGTGGAAATAACATATGTGTACCATTGTTATTAACTGCCATCAGGTTCACTTCAACTTATGGCAACTCTACAAACAGGAGGAGTGATCCTGGACTCATGCTGAGCCTGGGACCCCAGGTCTCAGCGGTGGCTGGGAGAGCTTTTGCACAATTAAAACTTGTGCGCCAGCTACGCCCGTACCTTGGGAAGTCAGATCTGGCCACGGTGGTCCACGCTCTTGTTATATCCCGAATAGACTACTGCAACGCACTCTACGTGGGGTTGCCTTTGAAGACTGCTCGGAAACTTCAACTAGTCCAGCGAGAAGCAGCCAGATTGCTCACCGGAGTAGCATACAGGGAGCATACCACCCCCCTGTTGTGTCAGCTCCACTGGCTGCTGATCCAATTCCGAGCACAATTCAAAGTGCTGGTTTTGACCTACAAAACCCTATACGGCCCTGGCCCAGTGTATTTGTCCGAACGGATCTCCCTCTACATCCCATCTCGAAGTTTAAGATCTTCTGGGGAGGCCCTGCTCTCGACCCCGCCACTATCACAAGTGAGGTTGGCGGGGACGAGGAGCAGGTCCTTCTGGGTGGTGGCCTCTCACCTGTGGAACTCGCTCCCCAGGGAGATTAGATCAGCGACTTCCCTTCTGGCGTTCTGGAAAAAATTGAAGACCTGGATATGGGACCAAGCTTTTGGACATTCTGGCAGCTAAAGTAAAGATCTGACGATAAACAAGGACAGATGGTATGGAATGGATATACGGAACTCTGAACACTGAGCATGAGATTGTTTTGTTATTTCATTATGTATTGATGTTTTTAATTTGTTAACTGTTTGAATTGCTTTCTGTATTGTTTGTAAATTGATTCAGGCATCGAATTGTGCCTTCGTCTGTCCCCCTCGGGGTGAGAAGGGCGGGGTAGAAGTAACTGAAATAAATAAATAAATAAATAAATAAATAAATAAATAAACAAACAAACGAGACATCGTCACCAAGGTTCAGGACCCTGCTCAGGTCTTGCAAAGTCAGTGCTGTGGTTTCCAGGAGTGAATTAAGTTGCCCACAACGAAGCTTACACAATATAAGGATTGAAAGATCCTTATATCAGCAAAGGTGGTCTCAGTGGTGATCGGCACACTGGGTGCAGTGCCTAAAGACCTTGGCCAGCACTTAACAACAATCAGCGCTGACAAAATCAGAGTCAGCTGCAAAAGGACACCCTACGCCAAGCACATATGTACATGATTGTAGAGTGGCGCAGCTGGCTGGGAGTCAGCTGCATTAAGATCACTACTGACCAAAAGGTCACGAGTTCGAGGCCAGCCCAGGTTGGAGTGAGCTTCCGACCAATTTGTGTAGCTTGCTGTCAACCTTTGCAGCCCAAAACACAGTTGCATCTCTCAAGGAGGACATTTAAAAAAAAATACATTTTACTCAGCCATAGGTTTTTAAGCATTGTTGTGCTATTGTTAATGTTTACTGCTTGTTTTTTTGCTTATGAGTTTCATTTTATTGTTTTGTATTGCTGTTGTTGTTTTTGCTGATGTATTGTGGGCTCGGCCTCATGTAAGCCGCACCGAGTCCCTTGGGGAGATGGTAGCGGGGTACAAATAAAGTTTTATTATTATTATTACTATTTAGGTACTGCTTATGCAGGGAGGCTAATTTACGACGCCATAAAAATCTCCAGCAAGCATGCAAAGAATGAGGAAGTACTTCAGCAGTGACACAAATGGACGGTGAAGCAACAGCTCCCCTGGTGGCCTCATGAAAAAAGCTGGAATCTTAAATAGCCTCTGTGTGTCTGTCTATATATGTTGTGTGTCTATGACATTGAATGTTTGCCATGTATATGTACATTGTAATCCATTGTAAATAAATAGATAGAGTCCCCAACCCTTCTTATCCAACATACCTGATATTAAAGATCTCCTCTCATGTTGAGGACTTTACTTAACTAATGGAATGCAATGAAGTATCCATCTAAGGCACCTTCTAGTTAAAGGTAAAGGGTTTCCACTGTCATTAAGTCCAGTTGTGTCTGACTCTGGGGGGTAGTGGTGCTCACCTTCATTTCTAAGACGAAGAGCCGGCATTGTCCATAGACATCTCCAAGGTCATGTGGCCTGCATGGAGCACCATTACCTTCTCACCGGAGCAGTACCTATCGATCTACTCACATTTGCATGTTTTTGAACTGCTAGGTTGGCTCACCCTGTTCCCCAGATTCGAACCAGTGATGTTTCAGTCAGCAAGTTCAGCAGCTCAGCGGTTTAACCCACTGAGCCACCGCTCCAAGCCAAATTGGGAGTATACAAGTCAAATAAATAAATAAATAAATAAAATATTGTGTCCAAAAAGAAAAATCCTGCAAATCTCTTGGGAAGACAAGGGGACAAATGTCCGCATGCTGGACGAAGCAAAGACCACCAGCATTGAAGCGAAGGTCCTCCACCATCAACTCTGCTGGACTGGCCATGTTGTGCCCGACCACTGTCTCCCAAAGCAGTTGCTCTATTCCGAACTCAGGAACAGAAAACGGAATGTTGGTGGACAGGAAAAGAGATTTAAAGATGGACTCAAAGCTAACCTTAAAAACTCTGGCATAGACACTGAGAACTGGGGAGTCCTGGCCCTTGAGTGCTCCAGCTGGAAGTCAGTTGTGACCAGCAGTGCTGAAGAATTTGAAGAGGCACAAATGGAGGGTGAAAGAGAGAAACGTGCCAAGAGGAAGGCGCGTCAAGCCAACCCTGACTGGGACCGCCTTCCAACTGGAAACTGATGTCCTCACTGTGGGAGAAGATGCAGATCAAGAATTGGGCTCCACAATCACCTACGGACCCGCTGCCCGGATACTACACTTGGAGGACCATCATCCTGACCTGGCTTTTTACTAGAGCATTCGATCTCTGTTAATTTTTAATTTTTGTATGTATGTATTTTATCTTTTATTATTTAGCTGTAAATCGCCTAGAGCATTCTCGGATGGAGGGCGATCAATAAGTTATTGAATGATGATGATGATGATGATGATGATGATGATGATGATGATGATCCTCAGATCGCCTAAGGCTAAGGAAGGCAATGTGTCCAATTCTGGGCACCACAATTGAAGAGAAATATTGACAAGCTGGAATGTGTCCAGAGGAGGGCGACTGAAATGATCAAGGGTCTGGAGAACAAGCCCTATGAGGAGTGGCTTAAAGAGCTGAATATGTTTAGCCTGAAGAAGAGAAGGCTGAGAGGAGACATGATAGCCATGTATAAATATGTGAGAGGAAGTTTCTGCTTCCCTGGAGACTAGGACGCAATGGAACAATGGCTTCAAACTACAAGAAAGAAGATTCCATCTGAACATGAGGAAGAACTTCTTGACTGTGAGAGCTGTTTAGCAGTGGAACTCTCTGCCCCAGAGTGTGGTAGAGGCTCCTCCTTTGGAAGCTTTTAAGCAGAGGCTGGATGGCCATCTGTCTGGGGTGCTTTGAATGCAATTTTCCTGCTTCTTGGCAGAATGGGGTTGGACTGGATGGCCCACGAGGTCTCTTCCAACTCTTTGATTCTAGGATTATATGATTAGAAAGAACTTCCTGACTGTGAGAGCTGTTCAGCAGTGGAACTCTCTGCCCTGGAGTGTAGTGGAGGCTCCTTCTTTGGAGGCTTTTAAGCAGGGGCTGGATGGCCATCTGTCGGGGGTCCTTTGAATGCAATTTTCCTGCTTCTTGGCAGAATGGGGTTGGACTGGATGGCCCAGGAGGTCTCTTCCAACTCTAGGATTCTATCTTGGTAGCTCTGGGAAAGTGGCTGGCAATGGGCATCCTTTCCCTTTCTTAGCCTTGGATGGACATCCCATGAGAGACCCTGGTTGATGGCGCAGGGATGCTTTGCCCTTCCCTCCCAGGCTGTGCCAAGGGATGCTCTCATCAGATTCGCCCGACTCCGCTTGTGCCTAGTTCCTCCCCTACCCGCCTGCCCTCCTTTTCGGGGTCCCACCAGAGGCACAGCCCCCCAAAGCAGCCTCTTTCCTTCCTACCCTTCCTTTCAGCCCCGAGGTCTTCCTTCCAGGAGATGGAGACGCCAGGAAGAGACGAAGCGGCCGCCGGCGGGGTCTCTGCCTCACTCCGAAGGAAGCAAGGAAGTTTCATGCAAGGGGGGGGGGGCAGGGAGGGACCCGAAGGAAAGCAGGGACGGGCTCAGGAAGGAGGGCGGACCGCCCCCCTCTTAAAGACGCAGGCCCTTCCCCAAACTGGGAAGCTGGGGGAAGCCCAGGAGAGACGCCTGGCTCTTTAAAGAGGGAGTGGTGGTCCCAAACCATCCATTCCTGAGCTCAGAGCTCCAAGCGTGCCATGAATTGGTCCAAGTCGGGATACAGGCAGGGCCCTTCCACACATCCCTGAACATCAAGGCAGAACATCCCATAATATTGTCGAAGGCTTTCATGGCTGGAATCACTAGGTTCTTGTAGGTTTTTTCGGGCTATAGGGCCATGTTCTAGAGGCATTTCTCCTGACGTTTCGCCTGCATCTATGGCAAGCATCCTCAGAGGTAGTGAGGTCTGTTGGAAATAGGACAATGGGTTTATATATCTGTGGAATGGCTGGGGTGGGGCAAAGAGCTCTTCCCTGCTGGAGCTAGGTGTGAATGTTTCAACTGACCACCTTAATTAGTGGGTTGTTGTAGGTTTTTTCGGGCTATATGGCCATGTTCTAGAGGCATTCTCTCCTGACGTTTCGCCTGCATCTATGGCAAGCATCCTCAGAGGTAGTGAGGTCTGTTGGAAATAGGACAATGGGTTTATATATCTGTGGAATGACTGGGGTGGGGCAAAGAGCTCTTCTCTGCTGGAGCTAGGTGTGAATGTTTCAGCTGACCACCTTCATTAGCATTTGAAGGCCTGCCTGCAGCAGAGAAGAGCTCTTTGCCCCACCCAGCCATTCCACAGATATATAAACCCATTGTCCTATTTCCAACAGACCTCACTACCTCTGAGGATGTTTGCCATAGATGCAGGCGAAACGTCAGGAGAAATGCCTCTAGAACATGGCCCTATAGCCCGAAAAAACCTACAAGAACCTAATCCCATAATATCTTCTTTGAATTGCGTTATCTGAGTCCACACTCAGATAATGTGGGATTTTCTGCCTTGACATTCTGGGATATACAGCTGTGTGGTTAAAGATGGGCTCAATGCCAACCTTAAAAACTCTGGTATAGACACTGAGAACTGGGAAGCCCTTCCAGTTGGAGGTCAGCTGTAACCAGCAGTGCTGTAGAATTTGAAGAGGCACGAATGGAAGGCGAAAGAGAGAAATGTGCCAAGAGGAAGGCGCATCAAGCCAACCCCAACCGGGACCACCTTCCACTTGGAAACCAATGCCCTCACTGTGGGAGAAGATGCGGATCAAGAATAGGGCTCCACAGTCACCTACAGACCCACCGCCAGGATACTACACTTGGAGGACCATCATCCTCAAACTACAAGGGATCGCCAAAGTAAGTAAGTAAGTTGATGGGAAGTTTCCCACCGGAGTGCCAATCATCTATCGGACAGATGGCAAGCTATTTAACCTCAGCAGACTGAAAGCCAAAACCAAGGTTACAACAACATCTAGAACTCTAGTATGCTGATGACAACATCGTCTGTGCGCATTCAGAGGAAAACCTACAAGCCACACTAAACACCTTTGCAGAAGCATACAAGAAGCTCGGCCTGTCATTGAACATCGAGAAAACCAAAGAGCTCTTCCAGCAGTCACCAGCCAATCCCTCTCCAATGCCAGAAATTCAGCTTAATGGTGTAACATTAGAAAATGATCATTTCTGCTCCCTTGGCAACCACCTCTCCACAAAAGTCAACATTGACACTGAAATACAACACCACCTGAGCTCTGCAAGTGCAGCCTTTTTCCGAATGAAGCAGAGAGTGTTTGAGGACTGGGACATTCGTAGGGAAACCAAGGTGCTTGTTTATAAAGCTATTGTCCCCCCAACCCTGCTATATGCCTGCAAGATGTGGACTGTCTACAGACATCACATGCAACTCCTGGAATGATTCCATCAGCGTTGCCTCTGAAAAATCCTGCAAATCTCTTGGGTAGACAAGCAGACAAATGTCAGCGTGCTGGAAGAAGAAAACACCACCAGCATTGAAGCGATGGTCCTCCACCATCAACTCCGCTGGACTGGCCACATTGTCCGGATGCCTGACCACCGTCTCCCAAAGCAGTTGCTCTACTCCAAACTCAAGAACGGAAAATGGAATATTGGTGGACAGGAAAAGAGATTGAAAGATGGACTCAAAGCCAAAGTTAAAAACTCTGGCATAGACACTGAGAACTGGGAAGCCATGGCCATTGAGCGCTCCAGCTGGGGGTCAGCTGTGGCCAGCAGTGCTGCAGAATTTGAAGAGGCACAAATGGAGGCTCCGGTTGTTGCTTAATTGCCATTAATTGTTGTTGTTTGGGTATGAAGTAATGCCACCCATGTAAGCTGCCATGAATCCCCTTCGGGGTGAGAAGGTCGAGATATAAATGTCGTAAATAAACAAATAATAAATAATAGAGTTGGGCGTCATCTGCATACAGATGATACCAAATTCTGGATGATCTCTCCCAGCAGTTTCACGTAGATGTTCAATAACATTGGGGATAAGGATGAGCTCTGTGGGACCCCACAGCCCACCAGCCGTGACGTCGAGCAGGACTCCCTCAAAACCACCTTTTGGGACCGGTCCGCGAGGAAGGACCGAAACCACTGAAGCCCCGAGCCTTTCCAAAAGGATACCATGAATAATGGTATTGAAAGCTTCTGAGAGCTCCAGGAGAGTTGTCACAAATGACAACAACTCTGTCCCTATGTACTGTGACATGGAAAGGGAATTCATCCCATCTTACATTCGTGCGAGCATAAGAACAGTGCTAGTAAGGAAGGTGTGGGAAAATACTGTTTTTTGAGTTATTTCCGCTTGTCAAATGTGTCATTGCATGCCTGACCTGGTGATCTCTTTCCACCCATGTGCCTTCCACATCATACAGCCTTCTGAGCATTTATCCCATGCTCACCATCTCTTGCTTTGAGTCAGGGAATCACCCTGAAATCTGTGAGTGAAGTTAAGTTTCAACATATTCCTCAATCTGGATTTTTTGACAAATAAATACTTAATAAGAACCACCGGGTTAAACCGCTGAGCTGCTGAACCTACTGACCGAAAGGTCAGCAGTTTGAATCCATAGACGGGGTAAGCTTCTGTTGTTAGCCCCAGCTTCTGCCAGCCTAGCAGTTTGAAAACATGCAAATGTGAGTAGATCAATAGATATCACCTTGGTGGCGCTCCATGCAGTCATGCTGGCCACATGACCTTGGAGGTGTCTATGGACAGCGCCAGCTCTTCAGCTTAGAAATGGAGATGAGAGCCAACCCCCAGAGTCGGACACGACTAGACGTAATGTCATGGGAAACCAGCCAAGGATTCTATGAGACTAAAGCACATGTATGCACTATAATAGATGCATTTCAAGTCAATATTATTGACCATTCATGTCGAAGCAGTTCCCGTTCATCATGGCTTGTTTTTGTTGTGTTCCTTCCAGTCGTTTCCAGTTCACAACAAACCTATCTAGGCTTTTCTTGGCAAGATTGGTTCAGAGTCAGGTTTGTCGTTGCCTTCCTATATGGCAGAAAGAATGTGACTTGCCCATGGTCACTCAGTGAGTTTCCCCATCAGAATCAGGATTTGAACCCTGATGCATAGAGTCGTTGTCCAAACAACAACCATAACAATGTTCCACTTGGGAGTTCAGCAGAATCTTATTTGAAGGGTAAGGATAAGAGAGCCAGCTCGGGTTTTGCTGTCCTAGAGACTAGACCAGGTAAAGAGATTCCACCTAAACAATAGGAAAAATTTTCTGATGGTAAGAGCTTTTTGACTGTGGAATGTGTTGTTTTCAGAGGGTGGTAGAGTCTCCTTCTCTGGAAGTTTTTAAGGAGAGGCTGGATGGCCATCTGTCAGGGTTCTTTGGTGTCCTTTTCCTGCCCGGTGGCACAGTGTGTTAAACCCTTGTGCCGGCAGGACTGAAGACTGACAGGTCACAGGTTCGAATCCAGGGAGAGCACTGATGAGCTCCCTCCATCAGCTCCAGCTCCTCATGCGGGGACATGAGAGAAGCCTCTTACAAGGATGATAAAACATCAAAACATCCAGGCATCCCCTGGGCAACGTCCTTGCAGATGGACAATTCTCTCACACCAGAAGCAACTTGCAGTTTCTCAAGTTGCTCCTGACACAACAAAAAAAAAAATCTGCATGGCAGGGGGTTGGACTGGATGGCCTTTCGGGTCTCGTCCAAGTATGATTCTAAATCCAGTCTTTTTTTAGCATAAGACATGTTAAACTACAATTCCCAGCATCCCTCAAGAGCACGCGAGCATGGGATGATGGGAAAGGTTACCTAAATCATCTGGAAGGCCCCGCCTACACTGTGATATAAAATCCAGATAATTTGCTTTGAATTGGGTATATGACAGTTTAGACTTATATAATGTGGATTATCTGATTTGATAATCTGGATTATATGGCAGTGTAGAATGGGCCTCAGTTAGAAGCATAGTTGAGGCACACATTCCTCTCTCCCGGCTGTTATTACCGGCTGCAGGACTGGGGGAAGGGGTTTGGATGAGGAAAGGAATTGGAAAATTGTGTGCGCCATGACCCCCTGGCCTCCTGGCCCTCTAGGCTATAGCTCAGCCTTGCTGGTTTTGTTATTTTAGGATGAGGAAATGAGGCTTGGATGCGACCGTAGCCCTGGAAGCAGAAGGTGGACAAAGAAAACAGCCTTTGATTCAAAGAGAGGGGAGGGGGGACGTTGCAAGAGAAAGATTTGGTATGGCCATGCAAAACAAGTCAGTCCTCTGTAGGGTGCAAACTACACCCTACAGAGGACTCCATCCAACCCAACTGCATTTCACAACCACATTCAGGAAAAGCGGTAAAGCCACCATCATTTGGAGTAAGGAAACAGATCATGTCCAAAATCTGCAAGTTTTCCTGTTCTCTTCTGGCCCTCAATCCTCTGTGAATTATTTGCATACAGACATCATGCTCTACTATTCTACACACAGACGTCATGCTGAAATCGATAGG